ACTCGAAATCTACGCCTTACAACTGCAGAGATACTTTCCCACTTCCTTTTTTTTTTAACGTTTTTGTAAGATATTTAAATTTTATTAACTAATACTTCTTGGAAAAACTATAAAGGTCTTCCAATAAATAAATATTATATACTATAAAAATGTCACATTTAAATTGTTATATCCGTTTATCATATGAATTTGAGAAGGTATTGTTATAAAAATAATGCATTATTTATTTTATAGAGGAAACAGGTTCTTGTATTCTATAGTAGTAAAACAGAATACACAATATCTAGAGAAAACTATAAAAGCATGTCTTATGAATATAAAAGGTCGTACCTACCTATTATATTTTTAAATAAATTTTCAATTCTTGGATAAATGTTTAAGCAATGCAGTATACCTATGTCCTGCAAAGACTATACTAATGCCCATTTTTAATATTTATTTTATTATGTCTATTTGATATATGTTTATATTTTTAAGAATAAATTCCTATGTGTACTCTATTTGTTACATAATTTAGGAACAATACAAAGGGTTCAACATTTTATATTTATTTTGAGACCGACCATTTTTGCAATATTTTTCAAGYGTTTTCAACTATATTTAATCAAATGTATCCAGAGTKTCCATAACGTTCAATAGATAATGATAATCAAGTTATGTAGTACAGTGATTATCAATCTTTTTGAAAGCGACACAAATTTTATCTTTCACAAAATTGTCACGTCACGGCAAATCTCATCGACTTAAAACATTTAGTTTAGCTGCGACGGGTATAAAATAAGTAATAATATTACAATTTATCAAGATTTAGTCTTTGTCATAATAATTTTAGCTGACTGCAGATAAGCTTTAATAAATGAGTAAATATTACGCATTTAAGCAAGTAGGTAGGTATATAAGTATATTAACAACTGTGAAATTGCGTATCTGTTTATTATTTTTGAATGTTTTATTGGAATCACTTCGCGGTACTCGTTCAATGTTATAAACATATACGAATATATATTTTAAGTTTTTAGTTATTTTCAGAAAATGAACAGATTCAACGACCATAGACTGCGAAACACACCGAGAATGATCGGTTAAAACCACTGATAAACTAAGTATAAGTGTATAATATTATGTGAATGTGATGTTAGTATAATACACATATTATAGTTATGTAGATATTAGGTCCCTATTTATAATTTTTCATTATCTCATATTATAATACGTCAATACAATTATGTAATTAATATACAGTAGAAATCACTATAACGAGCATCGCTTATAACGAGATACTGCTTAGAACGAGCAAAACGTTAGGTCCCGGCACAAGCTCATATGATTGTATGTTAAAATATACGTCTACAACGAGTATGGCTATTACGAGTTTTCGGCTATAACGAGTAAAATAAAACGAACTTGACTAAAGACCTTTCGGTTATTATGAACAGTTACCTACAAGATAAAAACTTTTGGCTATTCTTTAGGTAACATTTATTATTTAGGTCTAACACTAGAAAGATTTTATCCCACAAAATATGAAGGTACATATGCTGAAAGAAAAGCGTTGTTTTTATTAGAAACATCGATCAACAGTAAATACATGAAGCAAAGTTCGATCAAAGATYATTTTAAGAAATTAAATTCAAGTGTTTTATAATTATGTTTAAGTAATATTTATAGATAAATAAAGTAATAAATCTCCAATTATAATAATTAATAATTAATGTATGTATAAATAATGTATGTATTGTATTTCCCGTTATTAATCGGTTACAACGAATGCTCGTTCTAACCGCATATAACGAGCTACCGGTTATAACGAGAAAAACTATCTGGCCCTTGAAACTCGTTATAACCGATTTCTACTGTATATTGATATTATATTATAATAATTATTATTATATTATAAATGTTTATACACATATTTAAAAAAAATTGAATTCAATAATAAATACACTTAATCAATTTTTTAAGTACTGAA